AAAAAAAAAAAAAAAAAAAAAAAAAAAAAAAAGATGAGAAAAGAGCTAAGAAACATATCTGTGCATTGCAGGGGCTCATTATATTTCATTATTTGGTCAAGGTGAATCCCCCATTGTTGGATATTTAATTTCCTTTCTAACTAGGACAGTATTTTTTGTTTTTGTTTTTTGCTATTATAAACCACGTTGGCATTCCCCCCACCCCATCCCACCGGGTGAACCCTGTCTCTGAATATCCTTAAAATTTCTAGATGTGGGATTGCTGGAGGGCAGGGTTCTAAGGTCCTGCTACCGATTTATTTGTTTGTTTGTTTCTTTGTTTTTTCAGATGGAGTCTCAGTCTGTCACCCAGGCTGGAGTGCAGTGGCGCGATCTCGGCTCGCTGCAACCTCCACCTCCTGGGTTCAAGCAATTCTCCTCCCTCAGCCTCCTAAGTAGCTGGGATTACAGGCGTGTGCCACCACGCCTGGCTATTTTTTGTATTTTTAGGAGAGACGGGGTTTCACCATGTTGGTCAGGCTGGTTTCGAACTCCTGACCTCTTGATCTGCCCGCCTCGGCCTCCCAAAGTGCTGGGATTACAGGCATGAGCCACCGCGCCCGGCAGCTACTGATTTTCAAACCCCCCCTCCCTACCCTCCATCCCCATGGCCCATTTCTCCGCATCCTGGTTTGAGGTCGGCCACTGGGCTCTGCCTCCGCCTTCGGACCCGCAGCTCATGGATGTTAAGTCCCTGAAGCCTTCAGGAACTCACCAGGACAAAGCCAACTTCCCCGCGGGTCAGCGACACGGAGTGGCTGTAGGCACGCACGGTGACCAGGCCCACGTAGGAGACGCGGCGGCTGCCCCGGTGCTCGTTCTTGGCCTCCACGCTGAAGGCGGGCAGGGTGTCATCCTCGCTGCACAACTCCGCCATCGTGTACGAACAGGTGCCCATCATGTCGTAGCGACGGCCATCAAAGGTGGTGTAATGGGGGTCACCCTGGGCGCGGCAGACAGCGGGGGACTCCGCCACGCACTTGGCCTTCCCATCCACCACCTTGCAGCGCTGCCCGGCTGGGCACTTGACACCTTCGCAGGAGGGCTCCACTAGGGCCAGCACAGCTGGGGAGGGAAGGGAACGGTGAAAAGAGAGAGTCAGAAGTGTCCGCGGGGTTGTAATCCAAGCACTTTGGGAGGCTGAGGCAGGTGGATGGCATGAGACCAGGAGTTCGAGACCAGCCTGGCCAACATGGTGAAACCCTGTCTACACTAATAATACAAAAAATTACTGGAGCATGGTGGCACACGCCTGTAATCCCAGCTACTTGGGAGGCTGAGGCAGGAGAATCACTTGAACCCAGGAGAGGGAGGTTGCAGTAAGTTGAGATCTTACCACTGCACTCCAGCCTGGGCACAGAGCAAGG